TATCTACAGACTATTAATAGCAGGCGGTGAAATGCAGCTCCAGACGAGCCGAGTGCGTGATGACGTCACGAGTACGCTTCTGTTCCAATTGACCCATGTTTATGCTGCATGCTCCCATTCTCCCCAAGTCCACACTTTCCTGTGTTCTTCTCAAGAACATACTTGGCGAGGACCCCAGTCTGTACTTGGGTTATTGTGAGTTAAGAAACGGACAGCCGCACTACTAAAGGCTCTGCAAATCTAAAACACCATACAGTTCCTTGGGAAACAACAGTCAGTTTCAGTACAATTTATTTTTAGTTTACCATAATTTAAGCAAAAATTGAAACAAATAAAAAAATACAGAAGACATGACATAGGCGTCCTCAATAGTAGGCCTACTTATGGCCCTGACTGCAATGGAGGAGAGTCTACCGCAAAAAAAAAACGAATTTGCTAGAAGCCAAGGGCAGGACTGGTTAAATGTTTATTAAAACATATTGAAATGAACATAGACAATTGAACCAAGACCTAACACATCGTTCTTTAAAATCAAAATACTAAAATATCAATATTATTAATAAACTTTTATTATATTGATAAACTTAATAAGATAAACATATTAATGAAAGTGCAAGCATTATAAACCAAAAAGGCATTACTGTGCTGCTGTACGATCCTATCGATCACTGCTTTCAAATAGTGGGTGGAAAAAAAGAATCAAATCAGTTGTATTCTCTCTCATTGCTCTTATCTGCATTTTCCCCAAGTCCATTCAACTGAAAAATCTGAATAAATAAAATACAATACCAGACTCTATGACACACAGACAAAACAATACTCCCTTGAAAGAAAAATCATGTCCTAGTAGTGCAATGTCTTGTACTAAGAAATGTAAAAATTTTGTGATGAATCACCGAAGCGGACCCAGAATTCAGTCAGAGGTACTTTAAAAAGGAATTTTGTAAACAAAAAGCAGACCAATACCAAAAAGGACAGAAGAATCAAAAAGACTACAGAAAAACATCCAGAATTTCGTGGGAAGAGAGACTGAGGTAACATGAGGGGAGCTGATTTTGCAGGTGATAGAGATGGACACGAGGGGCAGGTGGGATCCACACGCCAGGCACACAATTCCAGGAGGTGAACAGAAGGCATAGTCAGGGCAGAGCTCCACGTCTGTAAGTTGCGCTCCGTCTCGATAAGAGTATCGTGCAGATCCCACCTGCCCCTCACTCAGCATCGTGTCCATCTCTATCACCTGCAGGATCAGATCTGCCCCTCCTTCCATCCAGGCTCCTTTTATTTTGGCTTCAATCAGCCTCTTCTTGGAATAGGCTGGTTCTAATGGTAATAAATATCATCCAGGGGGCCATGGATAACTAAATTGCAGGCCTTGACTTTAACATATGAGTCTAAAGTATAAGTTATTAATCAATATGATCTTCATTTTAAATAGTGGTGTCAAAAGTCCACACATTTTTTACTTAAAGGAATAGTACACCCAAAACATGATTAGCCTTCATTTTCTACTCACCCCCATGCTGAACAACACTCTGGAGTACTTTTTTGATATCTCAAATGCATCTGGAGATCTGGGAGGCTTCTTGCTGTCTGCTGACATTCAAATAATGGAGGTGCCCAGCGCCCGAGGCAGAAAGGTCCATAAAAGTCCACAAAAACGTGTCAATATTCCTCCATACTGCTCGTCCAATGTATTCCAAGTTTCCTGAGTGGGTAGCATCCAGAATTTACTCGAAACGAAGTCATTTAGAATGTTTTTAGAGCATAAACAGTAGTGTATAGGATTTCCTGAAAGCGCGCACCTGCGCGATCCCGACGCTATGGAAGCCGGCAGACCAAACCAGCGCATTCAGCTCGGCAAAGAACTCATGCTCTTCCTCAACACTGAAGTCCTCAGACATTTTTCTTTCGTTGTTTCTTTCTTTGCACAGGTAAACGGCACATTTCTTTTTCTACGCTTGCATTATCGGCAGAGCAGACGCTGAATGCGCACTTTCATCTGGTTTGGTCTGCCGGCTTCCGTAGCCTCGTGATCGCGCAAGTGCGCGCTTTCAGGAAATCCTATACACTACTGTTTATACTGTTTATATTGACACGTTTTTTGTGGACTTTTATGGACCTTTCTGTCTCGGTCACCATAGACCTCCATTATTTGAATGTCAGCAGACAGCAAGAAGCCTCCCTGATCTCCAGATGCATTTGAGATATCAAAAAAGTACTCAAGGGTGTTGTTCAGCATGGGGGTGAGTAGAAAATGAAGGCTAATCATGTTTTGGGTGTACTATTCCTTTAAGTAGAAGTGTAAGTACAATCTGGTAACAGTTAAAGTATCAACTTGACCTCTTTACTCAAGTAAAAGCGAAAAAGTATGTATTTCACTAGATGTGGATGGCGCCAATGATCTGCATTGGATGGCGCACATGACGTGAAATAAATATTTATAAACATTAAACCAGGGGTAACCAATTAAAAATCAGCGGGGCCCGAATAAAGCAAATCATCAACCAGTAAAGGTCCGGAGACATTTTAAATGATCTGTTACTTTAAGCAAAATTTAACACTGAAAAAAATGAGGTATTTATGCATTCATGTTATACATTGAATTTAAAGGAAAATTCCGTTTTTTAACACTTTTAGCCCATTTTCTGTAGTGTCCAGGATGAAATCGAATGATCGACACCAAAATTTTGACAATTGGTCCTGTCTCTGCTATTTGGCTCATGCAGAATCCCCCCTGGCTGCTTCAGAATGGCTTCCATAGTGCATGTCCGAAAATGTACTTAAAACAACCTTAAACGTTCTTTTTTTAAAATATGCTACTCACCGGGTCGTCAGCGCTGTTCAATGACGTTCCAAAAAAAGTTTCGTAAAGAAAAACGTTCCTGTAGTGTTTTATTTAGCATTTTGTAAATCCCATTGAGTTCTGTTGGAATAGTCAATATCCCTCCGCCACCGGAAACGGAAATGGGGCCTGTTTACGCTTAGTTGTAGTCTTTTCGCAAGGCCCAAGTGTTTCTGCTTCACTTTGTGTACTCCGACATCGAGGTGCTAACGTCTCTGTTAAACACTTTAAAAAACTCTGAAAATGGAATACGAAAGGTGGATTCTTGAGGAGGACATATTGGACTTTGAGTTTGACGGTAGAGGATACCATCGCCAACTAGTGGTCTGGAGTGTGCAACGCTTCAGATTCGAAGTTTATAAGCGGTTGTGATGTATCGGAAAAAATAGTTCTGGGATTTACAAAATGCTAACTAAAACAAGACAGGAACGGTTTTTCTTCACGAAACTTTTTTTGGAACGTCATTGAACAGCGCTGACGACCCGGTGAGTAGCATAGTTTTAAAAAAGAACGTTTAAGGTTGTTTTAAGGACATTATCGGACATGCACTATGGAAGCCATTCTGAAGCAGCCAGGGGGGGATTCTGCATGAGCCAAATAGCAGAGACAGGACCAATCGTCAAAATTTTGGTGTCGATCATTCGATTTCATCCTGGACACTACAGAAAATGGGCTAAAAGTGTTAAAAACCGGAATTTTCCTTTAAGAAAAAAAAATAGAAATTGTAAAAAATTGCATCCTGTCCTATCTGAGAGGAGTTGACACTTGTATGACTGTATTCCTGTATATCCATCAGTAGTTAAAGGAAAAGGGTCAGTAAATGCAAATTCTACCATTTAAAACAATGATAGCTTTATTGTCGCTGCGTGATCTGAAGCCTCATTTGGAGCTTTTAAACAGGCTTTTGTGAAACTTTGTTAATTTGCTGCTCTAATATTATAGATTTTTTTAGAATAAAAGATTTGCATAATCAAAAAATAACAAATACAATTATAGAACATTCAGTATTGTAAGAAAGCCCACAATGTTTCTGAATAAATACTGCACCATAGCTATCTGACGCTTTGCAGTTTCCAAACTCCCATCAGCTATCACTGTTTATTGTTGTGTGTGAATAACAAGAGACTGCAACACATAAATCAGCCGTACCTTGGACAAAATCTTTAGATTTAATGTTGTTCATAACACCCGTAGTTTTGTAAATGAATCTGCAAAATAACCAAATGTTTTATATATATATATATATATTTATATATATATATATATTATATATATATATATTATAATATAAAAACAAGTAGCTCGATTTGTCATATTTTAATCCATTTTCCTCGTCGATAGTCGCAGTTGTACAGAGCCAGCCGTGCCCCGTGGCTGATGATGCATATCTCGGAAGACATGCTCTTTTCGGCTTAACTCTGGACCGCGGTCCGCTAATCCGTGACCTCTGCATTAAACCAAAGCCTAGAGTAACGAGTAAAAATGTAAGGAATGGACAGTACAGACATTTATGCGAAAATGTAATGATTAAAAGTCAGAAGTAGGAAGAAAAAAAAATGTAATGGAGTAAAGTATAGATACCTTAAAAGTGTACTAAATTTCAGTAAGCAAATATTTGTACTTTGTTACCTGACACCTCTGATTTTGTAAATTCCGTTTATATGTTATCTTTAAATTTTATTTGAATCTGTTTAATGTTTGAATTAAAGCTTAAAGGGGAACGCCGTTTTTTTTTTTTTTTTTTTTTTACATTGGGCCCTTTATTTGACATTACATCATGTTCTACTCACCCATATAGGTTTTGTGTGGTTTGGAGCTGTTCTGAAGATATTCCGTACATCCAAGTAATGTCTTCCTATGGGCAAACAAGTTGAAGGCACAAACTAAACTGTTCATAATTTATCATTCATGGTACGCCAGCATTCATAAAATGTAGGTGAATCACTGTTCCCCAGACATCCGCAGTTATATTAGTTATATTTATATGTTTTAAAAACAAAGCGGCGTGTGTTACATGTACCATTGTATAAAGCTTAAAACCAGTTTTACTTTTCATATTCTTGCAAAGAAAAATGTTTTATCCATTGTAAACCTGGTTTTTAAGTTTAATGTTTATTTTTCTTTTGTTCTAATATTTGTCTGTTATTTATTGTAGTGATTTGCACACTCTGGAGTGGATATGCTAAAGGTAAGAGAGGTTTATTCATCTATTTTTCTCTGTTTTCCTTCTCAGCAGATCATAATTGAATTCATAATCCACCACCTGGTGGGGGAGGGAGAGAAGACACAAAAACACAACCCACATAAACTGGATTCCTAACATGATTTTATTATTCTGGTCCCTGCAGTTTCGATTATGTACATGAAAAATGCCTTCCAGCCGTCACGAACAGTAGTGGAAATTCCCCAAGAGCCGATAGGGCCAGTGGCTGCTGTTTGAGGGGATTTCAAGCAACAGAGCCCTGTCGTCATGTGGGGGTCTGAGCTGCTCCAACAGCGAAATAATATTCTTAATCAGAATCTTGATGAACTGACTGCACAGATGAAGTTTTTAGGTGGATTTAATCACTTAAAATCTTTTAAAACTACATTTTACAAGCTTATCACTGCAAATATAGGAAAGCCACTCTGTGCCAATGAACATAGAAGCAGCAGAAGCATCGGATGCATCTGTACACACTTTAGGTCCTTAGAAGAAAGCTAAATGGCAAGAACAAGTCTCCGGCAGTAAATCGCTACACTCTACTAGTAATCAAATACCCTGCTGGAAAAAGATGGCCAAAGGATGAGATAAAGGCCCCAGATGTTAAAACCTAAAAGCTCCTAACCATGTACGGAGGGTTCCACCCCAAATCCAGCAATGCAGCTACTATTCAGAATAAAACATCCATCCAACATATGACATGCTCAGTAAATCTCTCAGACAATAAGGAAGAGGAGACTGGGTACTGGAGGTTCTGTCATGGGAGGACAAGCCCCTACACAGGATGTACTACTGAAACGTAACTGTGTTATGTAACCTAACAAGTGGCAGGTGTGAGCAAATCCTACCAAAGGCTAGACAGAGCTGGACTGAAGGACTGCACAGAGGCACCCATCATGGCTGCACAGAAGCAGGCCCTGAGAACCAGAGCAATAGAGGCCCACATCTACCACACTGGACAAGACCCCAGGTGCAGACTGTGCAAAAAGGCACATTCAGGGACATAACTGCAGGATGTACAGGAACATCTGTGCACAGTAACATCTGTGCACAGTATGGGCTAGAAACCTCAAGATCAAAATGGGAAACACTTTGACAACTCCATCAGCAGCATTGCCAGGAAATACAACAGACATCTTGGTCCGGAAAACCTCAGTTCTAGAATCTGTCATGATCAATATAAGAGATCTGACCCACACGCAGAGAACCACTCAGAGAACCAGGGGAAAAGTTTAACAGGTTTATTAAGATGACTGTACAGGAGTTGAATCAGGACCTCAGGGAACTGGTGAACCGGAACTGAAAATCCTGGAGAGGAGATCTCAGTGATCAGTTCATGGGCTGTAGGAAAAACTGTTTGAGTCTTTAGCACAGTGGAAGCGGGACTCACGTTTGAGGGGGTTCTTGTCTTTCCTTGATCCAGTTATCCAGAAAAGAGGGAACTCGTTGGAGAGCGGACAGGTAAACATTCGTTGGACAATGAGGAGTAATGGAGCGGACTGTCACTTAGATTTCCGATAGGGACTTGAACGGCACATGTAGAAGTTTTCCCCTGCTCTGTGTGAACTCTTTTAATCCTTCCAGGGGGAGAAGGCCAGGCATCCAGTTACACAGGAAGGCTTCCTGCTGAAAAGGCAAAGACAAAAACAAAGTTAGACTCAGAGAAACAAAGACTCAGCCATGGACTTCAGGGGAATATCCCGAGTTTAGAGCCACACCCTTTGGCCTGGCGTGAACGTAGGGGCGACCCTCCTCCTGCGGTCAGCCCACCTACGGTTCAGTTCTGCAGACCGTCAGAGAGCTGCTGCAGTCCTGTTCCTGACAGCTCTGCAGTGGCGGATGTGGTGCTGAAGTCAGGGAACAGCAATCTCAGCCTCCTTGGCCGGAAAAAGAGGAGGCTGATACCAGAGAGAGACCTCCAATCGGGAGAGTTTGGTGGCAGATGAGACATGTGTGTTGTGGGCATACTCAACCCAGGGGAGAAACCGGCTCCAATCAGTGGGGTTCGTTGCGGACAGGCATCTGAGGCTGGCTTCCAACTCCTGGTTGATATGTCCACACAAACTGGATTCCTAACAGAATCAGCAAAGATACTTTGCAGAAACCCAAGCTCCCAGGCCTCTACCAGAGGCTATATATATATATATATATATATATATATATATATATATATATATATATATATATATATATATATAGCCTGAGAGGCCTGGGAGGTCTTGTTTTGTTTCCGTCTCCATCTCCTGATACGTTTTAGCCTGTGTTCGACCTTTCAGACACTTCAACATCTTTTTCTGAATCCGACAAATTAGCATGGCATAGACAATTCACGTTTTCAGTTTGAAGAACACCTGCTTGCTTCTAAGGATTTCATTTAGCTAACCATTGAGTGTTTGGGTTATATGACTCATTCAATTACACTAGTTTTCACTAGATGTGGATGGTGCCAATGATCTGCATTAGATGGAGCACATGACGTAAAATAAATATTTTTAAACATTAAACCAGGGGTACCCAATTAAAAATCAGCAGGGTCTGAATAAAGAAAATCATCAACCAGTAAAGGTCCAGAGACATTTTTAATGATCTGTTACTTTAAACAGAATGTAACACTGAAATGAATTGAGGTGTTTATGCATTCATGTTATACATTGAATTTTTAAATAAAAGAATATAAATAAAAAAAATGTTTTAAAGTAGAGAACAACAATCTTTCAGTTTGGTATATAGACAATTTCCTGATTCAATTTTGTTATTTTCTTTCTTTTTTCTGACATAATGAACCAGTGGGCTTTATGCTGCCCATTTTTTTTTTTTATTAGAGGACAAAAATCTTTCAGTTTGGTATATAGACAATTTCCTGATTCACATTTTTTATAAAACACCTGAACTGACTGTTTGTTATTTTCTATCTTTTCTTCTGGCATAATGAACCAGTGGGCTTTATGCTGCCCTGCAAGGCTTTAAACCTGTGTTTGAATGGAGACAAAGCCATTCTCAAGCACTGTAGGGAAGATAGCAGGTGATTGGACTGTATATTGAACTGTTAGTTTGCACCGTTCAGTTTTCCATCGGACACAATCAAAAGGGGGTGCCGGCCAGAGCACTACTTAAGCCCAGAAGGACATTGAATGGGGATTAGGTCAGAAAGGAGGACGCCAGACGGGATGATTTAAACTTGACCTTCTTGTATTAACTTTAGGTGGTATCATACTTGGGTTTTTAACAATGCGTCTGTGTGATCCTAAACACAACAGAAATGAAGATAAAATAACTCAAATCCTGTCTGTGGAGTTACTGCTAAATTCACAATAAGATCCATAATAATCATTAGTATCAATATTACACATAACTGAAGTAGATGAACTAGAATTACATTATTCGCATAGGCAACAGGTGATCTAGGCAGGTTCAGCAAAATCTACCAAATAACTACCAGATAATAGGAAAAATATACAAAAATATGCATCAAAATAAAATTAACTTATTTAAATAACAATATTTGGTTACTTACTTTGGTCATTTATGCACACAAACACAAGGATTACTTTGGATGAAAGTCAGGTAACTCTGAGGCATTGCATCTGAACTAAACAAAGATGGATGAACATGTGATGTCATATCCTGAAACTAGCAAGTACATTAAAATAACTAGGGAACACTACTTGTCAGACTAAAAGTCTGTAATGTCCATAGCCTTTTCTACAAGCACCTATCAAGCTTCTCATTTTGAGCCTAGATCCATATTTATTTTTGATTCTGTTCATGGTGGAGAATCTTGCTTCACAGCAGCATTTTCAATTGGTTACCGCTGGTTTAATGTTTCTAAATATTTATTTCACGTCATGTGTGCCATCCAATGCAGATCATTGGCACCATCCACATCTAGTGAAAACTAGTGTAATTGGATGAGTCATATAATGCAAACACTCATTGGTTAGCTACAGTAAATGAAATCCTCAGAAGCAAGCAGGTGTTCTTCAAAAAGCAAACGTGAATTGTCTATGCCATGCTATAATGTCGGATACAGAAAAAGATGTTGAAATGTCTGAAAAGATGTTGAAATGTCTGAAAGGTCGGACACAGGCGAGAGCGTATCAGGAGACGGAGACCAACAAGACCTCCCTCATCCTTTGCCCTATCTCAAAGAATTTCTCAAAATAGTCGAAAAATTGAGCTTTAAATTCATACAGTGGCATCTGGGTATTTTATCTTAAAGGTTACTTTATACATTTATACTTTAAGTAGTTTTTGGAGCACACACTTTTCACTTTTACTTGAGTAAAGAGGTAAAGTTGATACTTCAACTTTTACCAGTGTATTAAACTGCAGTATCTATACTTCTACTTAAGTAACAAATGTGTGTACTTTTGACACCGCTGCTCTACTCTCAAAACGCATTTGATGTGAACAGCATAAAGCGTTTATATCCTCCTTTTTTTATTTTATTTCTTTTCCCTAAGTGTTCAGTATTTTTTTATTTCATCAAATTACAGTTTTACTGATCAGAATGAGTACTGGAATAGATGATCACATAAAACTATGGCTTTCATATATAAGCTAGTTTATAACAACTTGTGTGTTTTTATCATCGAAAATTATTGTTTATGTTAAAAATGTGCTTGTTTTACTAAACTCATTCTAAAATGTGTCGTCATATTTTGAGGTTTCTCCACTTTTAGGTTATCACTTGTGTTGTGCCATATGCCATGATCATACCTTTTGGACATTGGGAAGCAGTGTCCATATTTCATCCTGATAGGACCAGGACCAGAGAAGAAAACGCAGCTTTGGTGGATAACAGCTGAGGGACTTCTGCAGCCCCCCCTTTTCAGCCAAAGTCACAGGCAAGTCACATGGGAGCCACCAGAGGTGTGAAAACCTACCCCCCTCCCTGTGAAGCCAGAGAAAACCACAGAGCACAGAGGATTCTGTCTCTTTTGCCTCTTCTCTTTCTCCCTCGTCTGATCCAGCCTGCTTCTGCT